TTTTTTCTCCTCGAATCTAATTTCAATCAGAATAAGAGTATAATCAGCGAAAGCCTGCGAACAACTTCTCGTTTCGCCGGAGAACTTTTTCCGCTGACGTGAACGTGTTGGTGAGTCGAGTGGAGAGCGAATAATTGGGTAAGTCTGGCAAATATTGGCCGCTAATTAAAAACGAAGTTATAAGAAACCCTGATAGAAAGAGCGTGTTTTAATTCGGCAGGGGTGAAATTCGATTAATTCGAACATTTCGAATGGGAAGTCGGCAGTGTTGGCGAGGATTAATCCAGAGGTTGAGATTCGTGCAAAACTGAATGAAAATTCGGATTACGTGGACTCCGAGTTAACCGACAATATCGTATAAAAACTATTCGTCGAAAAATATAACGGGAACCACGGTAATCCCACCGTGGATTAATTGGAATGGAAAGCTGCTTCGCGATTGAAACGAATTATCAGAATCTACGTTGATAAAGCTTTATCGCTTCGAGAACAGTTCGCGGGGATAAAGATGCAAGGGAAACATTAATTTGGATTAATTTAAGCGGAAATATTGGAATTAATACGATCGAAATTGATGAAGCTTTTTTGTATTATGCAGTTTAATAAATTCAGCTGGAAGTCTGAATCGATTCTTATTAACCTTAAAGTGGCACTTACGTTATATGGAAATCCGAACGAATGGCTCCATCGAATTACGGGGTGATAGAATTTATTATACCTCTTTGCAAACTTACCGACTCGTTCACGTTCGATCAGTGTATTCATTTGTGCAATTTACATTCGATGAAGAATGAACAATCAAGAATATATTTCTACGATCAGTGTGATAACGAAAATCCTTTTCAATCGTGTGCCATTCAAAGGTACGCTCTCATCACGGTTCGAAACGAGATTTTTGCGAACTTGATACTCATTATATGCCTATCCAGTTAGTGGAGCTTCAAACGACCAAACGAATACGAAACATTTGTGTTCACGAGTTGTTCATGTTCGATTTATTTTATGAATGTCCGACATTAAAATGCTTCTGACATTATTCGATGCTGGTTCTGCCCTTCTGTATTCGTCACTGCGGTAAAATGGTGAGAACGAGAGGAAAATCCGTTCGTTCGTGTTTGTTTAATTGATTGAACATTCATATGAATATTCAAGATCGATAATTAGCGCGCAGTGCGTACGTTTTTTTTTT